TCTGGAACCCGGTGCTGGGGCTGCCCCATCCCTGTGCCCCTGTGGTGGCCACACCAGGCCCCAGCGTCACAGCACTGCCCCACTCCACCTCTGCCCCAAACCCCCCTGTCCTCATCCCAGGCTGGATCCCTGGGAGAGAACCTGCAAGGGAGGTCCCCCAAGCCTGTCCTTCCATGGGAGTTGACCCTTCCTTGCTTGCTCCCCTTCCCCAACAATTTATACGATGACTGCTGCATTGCTTGTCCCCCTTCTCCTTCCCAATAAACCTGAGCAGGCACAAAAGGAACTAAACCCCAGGCAAAGCCAAAGAGCAGCATTTCAGCTGCCCAGAGCACCCTGGCAGCAGTGGAGCCAACAGTGGCTGAGGTGCAGCCCGAGATGGTGGCCACCCTCATCCCTTGGTCCCTGGCTGGGGATGGCAGCAGGTAACCAAAACGGCAGCTTCTGTGTGGGTACCTGGCAAGAGAGGTGGTGCTGTGGGAGCAGAGGCCCCGGCAGCCAGGTCTAACTGTGGTTTCTGGTCACCAGGGTGTTTGCCTGCTTGGTTCAGGGGCTGGAGAAGGTGATGCCGCAGCCAGTGACCAGGGAGAAGCAGAAGGCACAGGTATGCTGTGTGCTGGATAGGCAGAGGGCAGGTGAACACCACGTCCCCAGCAGGGAGGGTGTCCCCTGCCATGCACATGCCACTAGATCAGTGCAGGGACCTGACGTGGTTTGTGTTGTGCCCCAGCTCCTTCAAGAAAACGAATCCCCACAACCTGCTTAGTTAATACAAACCAGGATTTGGCTTCTGAGCAGCGAGAGCTCCCATAGTTTGTGCTTTCTTTACCGTTTCCTAGCCTTCCTGTGAAGCACTGCATGGTGCCCAGGTCCTGGCACCTAACTGGGGTATGGTCCGGCTTTAAGGAGAAGCAGGAACAGCAGCTTTGCATGCTCTCCTTTCCTTCCCTTGCACTGCAGCGAGCTCACTGATGTGCTCCTACCATTTCCCATCATGTATGGGGATGCTTATCCCCATGGCCAAGCCAACCAACCTGAACCAAGAAATCATATGGGATATTTAGCATAAAAGGGCCACGTTTACTGAAAATGGGGTGTTCAGAGTAAAAATCTGGGGTTATTGAAACACAAAATTCTCATGTTTCCCTTTTCCTACTGGCAGGGAGTGGATGCAGCAACTTTGTGTCCCGTGGAAGAAAGTAAGTGGTTGCTCTATCTCACCATGCTGGTTTGCTTGCCGAGGTTATTGGGAAGGTAATTGGAAAGGTTGTTGGGAAGGTTATTGGAAAGGTTGTTGGGAAGAGGCTTTTATCCTTCAGCCTGCCATTGGTGCCATCTCAGGAGCCCTGAGATCCCTGAAGTCCCCCCAGGAAGCCGTAAGGAGCTGTTGCTGCTTGGGAAGTGGGAGCAGATGCAGGGTTGTGGTTCAGGCTTGGCAAAACTCAGGCTGTGGGAGTCTCTGAGTGCAGCATCCCCCATCCTTGGGCCCCAGGTTTTGAGGTTAGTGCTGATATCAATGCCTGTCCTCAAGATGTGCTGGAAGATGATTGCCAAACTGCTGGGATTTGATCAAAGCATTACAAGGAAATTCAAACCTGCTGCATTCATCACTCCCTTTGGCATGGCTGTTGTTGTACTGGAGGGTGTCTGCCAAGCCTGCGATGTCTAAGGAGATTATTCGGGAAAAAAATATCCTGTGATTAGCTATGTTGGATGTGAGTCTGCATGGTGTAGGAAAACATTGTAGGGTTCACACTGCTGCTTGCCTGCCCACGGAGGGGAATGAGCGCAGGCTCTGCAGGCAGATGGGGTTGGCTCCCCACACCAGCCACCTTCTGGGATGCTGAGGGAAACAGGAGACACAGCTGCCACTAGGGATGGACAAGGCAGGGGAGATGTCCCACAGCCTTGTGCAAGTGCTGCCCAGGAAGCTGCAGCTGGTTGGGCTGTGGGAGCTGCTGACGGGAGCAGGGACCCACCATGGCACACACATATCCCTGTGCATCCCCCCACAGATATGCCAGGAGGTGGATCCCACTGAGACAGCAGCTGCTTGGTGGGATGTCAAGCGGGAAGTCCTGTGGGAAGCCATTTCTCTGTATGTCTGTACAAACTGGAGACCTGAGCATTACCTTGGAAAGAGGCAAAGACAGTGGGCATGCGAGGGCAGTCACACATCTATGTGCAGCTGGCTGTGTTACAGCTCCCTTTGGTGCCTTGACGCATCTTGATGTGCCTGAGGAAGGGCACAATTGGGTCAGCAGGAGATTTGCCCTGGCACCAAACTGCCAGCAAGCTCATTAATGTTTTCCTTCTCCTTTTGTTTCAGGGGGCAAAGGGGCTTAGTGCCTCTGAAACAAATGGAAAACGAAGACCATGGCCAGCCAGCCCTTCCCACAACTCAATGAGACCAGCCCGAGGAGAGAGTGCAGCTGGGGAGGAAAAGCAAAGGGCAATCTGCAAATGGTCTCTAGCTCCTTCCCAGCCAGGGTGGCGGGATGTGAGGCTGGTCAGGGATGCTGGCTGTGTGTCCCCGGTCCTGGGACTGTCCCATCTTCACTCCTTCTTACCTCTGGGAACCAGAGCTATTGTTTTTGCGGAATGATGTATATGAAACTGGAGCTATAGTTAATAGGAGGGTAGAAAAGCATCACTCAGAGGCAGAAAGCCTCTTCCTGCAGCCTCCTAGCACTCCTGGCCCTCTCACCACCCCACCAAGCATTTGAATATTCACCCCTGAGACCTCCAGCTGAAGCCCACAGGTTTCTTTTAGTTGACTGCTGCCTCTGAGGTGTAATATCATAAAGCTCTTTAAGCTCTCATCAGCCTCTTAACTGCTTTTCTTCCATTAACTGGTTGTTTTCTCCCAGTCAGTGGAAACTGGTTTGCAGCCACCAGTGTAGGTGGGTGAGGTCAATCTTTAGGTGGGTAGGTAGGAGTTAATGGTTAAAAGCCTTTTCCTGAGCTCTATGTGTATGAGAACTTACCCCAGACTCTCCTTACCCTCGACTATAGGTGCTTCCGAAGCTCACAGCTCCTCGGGTGCAGCATTAACCATGGCATCAGGAATGTCCTGACATGGGATGGAATCCCAGGGGCTGCCTGCAACCCAGAGTTGTGCAAGGCCTTTGGGCTGGATGGGGTGAGAGTCCCTACACCCCAGGGTTTTAGTAAAGACCTTAGAATCACAGAATGGTGTTTGGGTTGGAAGGGACCTTAAAGCTCATCCAGTTCTAACTGACTGCCATGGGCAGGGACACCTTCCACTAGAGGAGGTTGCTCCAAGCCCCCGTGTCCAACCTGGCCTTGAACACTGACAGGGATGGGGCAGCCACAGCTTCTCTGGGCACCCTGTGCCAGCATCTCAGCACTCTCACGGGGAAGAACTTCTTCCTAAGATCTCATCTCAATCTCTGCTCTGTCAGGTTAAAGCCATTCCCCCTTGTCCTGTCCCTACAGAGCTTAGTAAAAAGTTTTTCTCGTCTTTTGTATAATGCCCTGTGTATACTGAAAGGCCACAATAAAGTCTCCCACTGTCTCACTGCATCTCTAGGCAGCCATAACAATGAGCCATGAGTGAACAATCATCCTGAGATCCATCCTCTGTGTTTATAATGAACCCTCCTGACACCAGGCTACAATTTTAGTATTATTTGCTCCATTTTCATATAATGTCTCCAAAGTTGTGTCATGTTTTAAAAGTAATTTCCCTGATTGCTGTGCCGTGTTTTAATTAATGGGGATCTGGAGGGAACAGGCTGAAGGCAGCATAGGCACTGTGGGATGGGTAAATGCAGCGCAGAGGCAGCCATAGGTGGGTTTCCTGCCTTTCTGTAGTCGAATTTGTGTGTTTGCTATGAGCTTCACTGTGGATATGTAAGTTTTGTTCTCAGGCAGACCTCAAAATAAACTGGTTTTACAGTAAGCGATGTGCTTCCTCCTCCTGTTTCTCTGGTGTGTGCCTGATGTGGTAGCGGGGTACCCCTGGGACATGGAGAGGGCTTGTCATGGGTCAGACCTGGGCTCTTCCATTTGCAGCCTCCCCTGTAACGCACCAGGGATTGGGGCTGCACAGGTCTCTGTGAGCTGAGAAGTGCTTCAGTCCTGGCGTGCAGCAGCATTTCACCATTGAGCACACAAAACATGGGATCTGTCCTGGCTCTACCCCGGGCTCTCGAAAATGCAGTGCTGACTTCATCACCTGTCCTCCTCCATTCCTGTTTCAGTTCATATTGTCGCTGAGGAACCCAAGGAGACAGACCTCATCCTGGAAGAGATTGATGGTGACTGGAGTAACGAAGCCACACGCGAGATGATGGCCTGGGATGTCAAGGCTGAGCTGGTGGCAGATACTCATCCACTTCCCCCCATACAGGAGGAACCTCAGGAAGAAGAAAACAGGTAGGAAGAAGAAGGGAGAGGCTGCTGATGGGCAGCTGTACATGCTCTCTGACCACCAGCATCATGGCCATGGGAAGGAATGAGCACATCCCTGGGCATCCCTCCTTGCTAGCACTGGTGGTGGAGCTGGCAGCAGGCAGCTGAGGTGCCTGTTTCCAAAGAGGGGGGCACCAGAAGGACCTGAAAGGTGTTAGAGCAAATGGCCTTTCCTTCTGGTGTTGAGATTTGGGTTGAGGCAGGCAGTGGCAGAGCTGGGAATGTGATGCTTCACTTTGCCCTGCAGAGGACAGCTAAAGGATGCTCTTAAAATCATAGAATCACAGAGTGGTTTGGGCTGGAAGGGACCTTAAAGCTCATCCAGCTGCAACCCCCTGCCATGGGCTGGAACACCTTCCACTCGAGACGGGTGC